ACCAGTCGAAGGAGGCTTCTCCCTGCTCCCTGGGGCCTGCATTTTAGTCCCCAGCCCCTCTGGGGACACAGAGACCGGGAGTGGGAGGAACGGGGGCTTTTCAGTCTCACACCTGGGCTTGAGGCCCAGCTCCAATATCGTGGCTCTTTGAATTCTCACGGAACCTCTTAAATGGGCTAATAGTCTTGACCCTTAACAGTCTCGCACCCTCACCATGAAGTTACGGTGATCTCACAGATGAGAACAAGCTGCGTAAAGTCCTGTGTGGATGATATTGGGGTCTGTCCCAGCTGTGTTTCTGTAGGAAGTCTAAACTTGGCTTTATAATGCTAACAGTGAGTGCTCAAAAATGTTAGCCACGTGGCAGGCCTGTGCTAGGAGCTTTAAACACTGGATCTCATTTAGCTTCTCATTTCTTGACCCCTGGATGTGGTAGGTATTATAATCCCATTTTTTTACAGTTGAGGAAACTGAGGCCCACAGAAGTTGAGCAGTTTGCCCTAAGGTTACACACGTTAGTTGAGGAACCCAGTTTGAACCCAGGCCAGACTGACTTCCAAGGCTTGTCGTGGGGGGTTAGGTGAGAGGTCACCTTCCTGCGGGGGTGGGCGGGCCTCCTCTGCTCCAGGCCTGCTGTTCTGGTGGTTCCTGCAGGTGTGACGATCTCTCTGCTGGCTGGTCTCCTTTCGTGGGTAATCTCTAGGTCGCAGCCCTCCCCAGGAGTCTTCCATGGTTTCTGGGGACTCCTCAGCCCCTTTGCCTCGGTCTCTGCCTGCACAAGTACCTAGTACTTCACCTCATGCTTCCCTTTGCTGCGGCCGTTCCCATCGCCCGAGGCACCCTGTTCCCGCTTGTCCTTTCTGCTGTCTTCAGGTCCTCTCTGCACCTCAGACCTTCCTCATCTTCAAGTCTCAGGTCTCAGCTCCAAGGTGACCCCTGTCCTAAGTTTCTTCTGTAGGTGTTTATGTGGCACCTGCTCTGGGCCAGGCCTGAATCTGTTTCTGTCCTGAGGAAATGCCTGTGTGATGGGGGAGGCGCCTGTGAACACGGTGACTGTGCGGCGTGGTCGGTGCTGTGATGGAGACAGGCAAGGCTGTGGCGACTGGAGGGCCCTGGCTCACCCTGGGGAAGAGGCGCAGGCGGGGGAGCTTGGAGAGGGAGGAGGAAGGACTCACCTGGCAGACAAGGCAGGTAAAAGGGTCCCAGGCAGCAGCAGCACCCACATGGCCGGGGGAACGGAGGAGGATGAGAGTGGTGCTCTGAGGAACCTCCTGTGGTCGAGCTGCCGGGCGAAGTGGCAGGAGCAGGAAGCAGGGCCTTGCTCCTGGGGGGTCTGGAGCAGGGGAGCTGTCTGATCAGGCTTACTGTTCAGACAGGTTCGAGTGGTCCTGGGGGATAGAATGAGGTCCCATGGTGGGAGGAGTTCCAAGGACCGACTGGTCTGCCTGCCAGGCAGGACACAGTAAGTTGTGGTTATCGAGTCGGTGGGTCTGTTGCTGGGGGGATCCATTGGTGCTGCCTGGACGCCAGAAGGCGGTGGAGCCTGGAGGCCTGTGAACAGGCCATGGAAGCAGTGCGGGGCCCTGAGTGCGTCAGGGTGGTGGGGTAGGCCGAGAGCTTCAGGGGGTTGGGTATCTGTACTTGGCTCCCTGGGGGAGGGAGGAAACCCAGGTCAAGTGTGTCATTGGGAGCTGTGGTCAAATTGCCTGGAAGGGGCCCCGGCCCAGGAGGCCTCAGCCTAACTCCCAGCTATGTGACCCTGGACCAGCCTTTCCTTCCGTGTGCCTTAGTCTCCCCATCAATGCAGGGATTGGGCCAAGTGGCCTCTCCTGCTCTGACCAGCAGGTCTGTGGCATGGCTGGCCCAGGAGGAGGGACACAGAGCGAACGGTATAGCCAGCTGAGGCCTAATCTGGGATTATCAAATCTGGCCAGTTCTGCTGTGGCCGGGACCAGAGCCTGGCACTGCTTCCTTCTGAGAGGGCACGACTCTGGCCCCACCTTTCTCGTGGGCCCCGCCCTCCCCGTCTCCCTATCAGCTGTTTCGGCTCAGCCTGCCTGGCCACCAGAGGACCTGACTCCATCCAGGGCCTCCGCTTTCCCTGTGACTGGCTGGGGCTGGGGAGAGGGGAGTGGCCCAGCTCTTAGGGCCCCATTGGCCAAACCCTCCAGGGCTGCACACTTCCCTCCCTCCCAGTCTGGCTGCCTGCCCAGCCTGGGGGGAGGAGGAGGCCTGGCCTGGCCTGACAATGGTAGGCTATGTTGGAGCCAAGGGAGGAGTTGGAATTTGAGAGGCCCTGTCCTGAGCCACTGGTGCTGCTCTGTTCCCTCTGCTGCTGCTATAGCCCAGGGCTCTACACCCCTCTTTTGGAGAGGAGTTGGGGGATAGCCATAGTGAGGCTTGTCCCGCACTTTGCAGGGGGCAGGGAGGTGGGAACTGAGCCCTGCTGGGAGAAGCTCAGTATTTCCTGTCTGACAGGGTAAACCGGCTCCTTGGCTTCCTCTTTGGAAATCTCAGCTGGGCGTGCTGGAGCCCTGCAGGGTTAGACCCCAGAATGCTGGAACCAGGGGATACCCTGGGGATTGGCGACCTCCCACTGCCCCTGCCCACCTTATGAGTGATGGATGAGGCTCAGGAGGAGAGGGGACTCGCTCACGATCACATAACACCTGAGGGACAGAAGTAGGATTTGAACTCAAGTCTGTCTCTGCTTGTCCTTCCGCAAATCTTTGACGAGGTCCCATTGCGTGCCAGGCTCTTCTAGACATGAGCGTGAGAGTAGGAGCTTCTCAAAGGGACCAGCTGGATTCTCCTTTGCATTCTCAGTGTTTGGCCCAGGGCCTAGTACAGAGGAGGTGCTTGGTAAGTGAATGAATGAATGAATGAATGAATGAGGCAAAGATCCTGCCTTCAAGCATGTAGAGTCTATTGGGAGGATAGTCCTTTCCACAGAACTTGAAAGAGGAGCCTGATGGAAGTGCGGAGTGACCAGGTGAGAAGCAGAGAAAGGATTGGCACTAAGGTGTCCTGGCTGCTGGTCTAGGGCTTTTCCATCTTTACTTCCTCATCTGTAACAATGGGGTCCCCCTTCCTTGTGAGGATCCAGTGAGCAGTGGATGTAAAAATAGGCTTGTGAAGCAGGGACACCCTGTGTGCATGCCCAGAACTGCCCAGAAACCGCATACGTCTGCTCCCTTGCTTCTGCCCCCTTACACTGTGCATCTTGCCTGCCCTGTTTCCCTGGCTTTCTCCAGGCTTCTTTCTGAAATGTTCTGTGTAGAACCCCTGGCTGTGGGAGGGGTTTGGGAAGAGTGTGGGTGAACAGAGTCTGCCTGCCTCCTCCCTCTAGCATCTCCCACACCTGGAAAGGCAGCCACCCACATCCACATCCGTGCAGGCCCCCAGTGCACACCAGGCTGGAAATGCCTTGGCAGTGGTTACCATGGTGACATTCCTGCTTAGACCACAAGGCCTGTGAGATGCCTGCAAGATCCTGCAAGGCTGGCAGCCTGGCACTGCGAAGGCTTCCACCCAAGCTGAGAGCTCGTGGGACAGCCGCCCTCCTCTTTGTCCCCTTGGTGCCCAGCACTGTTCCTGGTACCCAGAGGCTCTCGCGAATGAGCTGCCTCTTGGGGACCTACAAGCTGTTCTGGGTCAGACAGGCCTGGTTCAAATCCCTTTTCTACCACTCACAAGTCAGCAACCTTGAACCAGTCATGTCAGTGTTTTCTGAGTTTACTGAATTAGCTACAGAGCTTCACGGGGGGAGCTAACTAAGGAGTGCACACCCCCAGCATGAGGGCCCTCTCAGCTCTGAGCTGTCACCGCCACCATCTGCAGCAGTGGCAGGTTCAGTATCAAGTTGTGTCACTCTTTGCGGCTGAATCCAGGCCCAGGCCTCTGGCTTCCTTCTCACTCAGCACCAGGAGCCCCTGCAGGCAGTGTGGCATGATGGGTAGAACCTCAGGCTGCAGCCAGACCTCTGGGGTCACAGCTAAGCTCTGACACTTTCTTGGGCCTCAGTTTCCTCATCAGTGAAGTGGGGATAATAATAAACCTACCTTAAGGGTTTCTTGCGCAAATCAAATTGAATTGGTATATGCAAAGTGCTTAGAAGAGTGTTTGATATTTATTAGGTGCTATATAAATGTTGGTGGCAGCTGTTATCATTACCACAATTGGCAATGGCCATGAGAATTGGAACTTGTGCCTGTCCCTCCTGTCATTTTTCTCACATGCACAGGTGTATCCTTGTTCACAGTCTGATTAGGTAGAGAGAAGGGATAGCAGGTTGGCGCCACCTTCTTCATCCACCCCATCCACCCACTGCTAAACCCTCACCACCTCTTCTGCCTAAGGACTAACAAAACCTGTGCCCTGGGCTGAAACTCCACCTCTGCTTCATGAGTTTGAGGATTTTCTCAGCTGATTCTCCAGCTGGCGGCTGCTGGAACCCTGGCCTGCATCACACAGCTGCTCAGAGAGTGTCCTGAGCGCTCCAAGTCAGTAGAGCTAAGTGCTAAAGACAGATGAGCACCCAACAGAGGTGTCATCTGAAGAGCAAGGAGTCCAGGGAAGGGGCCCTTGGGGGATGAAGTAGGAGCTGCTTCTTGAAACACCTTTTTGGGAACAAATCCTCAGGCTTGCTGGGTGGAGCCTCACTAGGCCTCTGCACTGAGAGGGGAAATCTTTCAAGCATGAAGGTCAGTCAGAGGCAAAACTTTAAAACGTTGACCCACGAGCTGAAGCAAGGAGGACTGAATTCTGTGCGTGACCCCTCTCTCCCCTACCCCTGTTTCGGGTCCAAGGTCATGTTAACATGGAGGTGTTGGCTACAAGGAACCTGGGCACAAATGACATCCAGAGTGCCCCTGGGCTGGAGGGTGCTGGGAGGTGGGCCCAGGGGCTCTCTCTCCTCCCTCCAGCCCTCAGGTCTCAGGGAGGGCAGACCCAGCGGGCCCTGCAGTGAGCTGACTTCTCTGAACTTGCCTGTTCCCCAGGGCCTCGCCTCTGTGTTCCCCAATCGCCAGTCCCGGAAGTCAGCCTCACGCAAAGAGGTCAAAGACGGTGCCATGGCCGACGATGAGGAGTACCGGAACCCCACAGAGGTACAGATGAGCCAGCTGGTGCTGCCCTGTCACACCAACCAGCGTGGTGAGCTGAGCATCGGGCAGCTGCTCAAGTGGATCGACACCACAGCCTGCCTGTCCGGTGAGACCGCGATCGGCCCAGCCGCCCTCCCCCCACTGGCCCCACACACCCAGAGGAGAGGCCTCCATATTTTGAGATTCTTTTGGGGTGGTTGCTGTCTCCCTGAGTGCCACACTCATCCCTCATCCCAGCCTGCCTGCCTGCAATGCTTTCTCCAATTTCTCGATGCTCAGCTCTGGCCTGCCCTCTCCCCTAAACGCCCCAGCTCTGTGTGGCCGCAGGTCCCTGCTCCAGCACAGCGAGGCCGGGAACACGGCTGCTCCGAGACTGGCTTAGGAGTGCTGTGAGCAGGCACCCTGCTGTCTGCCTTGAAGAGCTCTCTGCACTGGGTTGAGCTGAATGAAACTTATTTTATTCCTTATGATGTCCCAGTGTCCTCCAGGCCACAGGGAGCTCAAGATGGATGTGGGGGAGGTGGGACAGACGGGTGACCCAACTGCCCCCATGCACTCTTTTTTGGGGATTGGGAAAGGGAGGTGAAACTGGGGCAGTGTGAGAACAGGCTGCAGGGACAGAGAAGGGATTCTAGAGGGACTAAGGCAGGGACCTGAGGGTAAGAATGACTCGGGCCCGCAAACAAAGGTGGACGAAGGTGACTGGGCAGACGGGTGGGCACTCTAGAAGGCTGGGAAGGAGACTGGCTGGTGCGGCCACTCATTTATTCAACAGCTACCTACCGAGAGTCCACTCTGTGCCAGGCACTCTTCTGAGATTGGGGTACAGCCATGTACTAGGCAGGCAAAAATCCCCGCCCTCAGTAACTTGCAGCTGAACAGAAGGGAGAGATGCTAGACAGACCAGATACATCAAACAGGACATGTCGACCTTGAAGAAAAGTAAAGAAGGGTGCGGGTGAGGGGGCATGGCCCTAGCTCGGGAGGTCTGACATTTAATCAGAGGTCTGCGTGATGCGGGAGGCTGCTAACGCAGGGCTTTCTTTTCCTGATGCCAGCGGAGAGGCACGCTGGCTGTCCCTGCGTCACCGCCTCCATGGACGATATCTATTTTGAGCACACCATTAGGTAAGTGGCCCCTCCTGCTTCTAGGTACTTGTGGGTACCCCACTACAAGCCTAGGGATCCCTCCCGTCTCTCCTGCCTGGAACTCGATGGTCTTTGTGGATGAAGTCGGGGAAGCCTCTGGGAAGCAGGGACCTACCTTCAGGGACTCTGGGACAGCGGTCGGCTGGGAGCTGGTTTGCTGCTAGTTGCTGTGGGGTCAGTTCCCTCAGCTGGGGGGGAGCCAAGGAAGTTGCTTCAAAGTTGGAGTTGAATGTTGCTGAGGCAGCATCGTGGGTGCTGTGTGACTTTGGTGAAGTCTAGCTTTTTCTCTGGGAGTGATTAGACTTAACCAGTGAATGCCTTTTCGATCTCAGGCATTCTCTGTGGGTCACTGGTTGCTGGACTGTAGGGAGTTCTCTAGACAAGGTGCCCTGGCAGAGCTGGAGTCAGAAGCTTGGGTAATTCAGTGTCTGCTCACATAGCTTCAGGGACGAGGAGCTCGCTGCCTCCCAGTTTTTTCTTTTTTAAAATGCCTCTACTGGTTACAAAGCTCTTCATTACGCTGTGTTGAGCTTTGTCCCTGCGGAGCTCTGCTGGGACCCAAGGACCACACCAAGACCTCAGCCCTTTGTAGGGTCTGCTTGTAGTGCCCCCTGGCCTGCTCCTAAGTTCTCCATCAGCGCCAGGGGCTTATTCAGGACTTCCTTGGTGCCTGGAGCGTTGCGGTTAAGGGAAAGGTGTGGCCGGTCCTTACATTCATTTTCCAGTCACTCATCACTACTGGCACCTTTTCCGGATGAGGGCTCGTGCCGCGTGCGTGGCACGCACAGTCAGCTGGAGCGTAGTGCCCGTGCGCCCGAGCGCCCAGCTGTGGGGAGGCGGACGTAGGAACATAATTTCAGTTCATGGGTAAGTTCCATGCTCCTGATGATCTCTGACATACAGGTGCTTTGTGATACTTTTTCTAAATATTTTTTATTTTAGAATAGTTATTAATTTACAAAACAGTTGTAGATGGTACAGAGCATTCCATAAACTCCACATCCAGATCCTCTGTTAAAACTTTACATTCACATGGTACCTTTGTCACAATCGATGAACCGATATTGATGCATTATTTACAATGCCTTTTCAAATACATTAGCTCGTTTAATCCTCAGATAAATACTGTGAGGTCCTGGTTATTAGTATCTTCATTTTACAGAATAAGAAACTGAGAAACAGAGGCGTGAAGTAACTTGCTTAAGGTCATACAGCTGGAGGAGGACCCAGGCTGTACTACCAAGCAGGCAGCCTGGGCCCAGAGCACTTGCTCTTGACCAGTGGACCACATTTCCTTTATGTCTAGGGGTGGGTATAGTGACATAGAGGGTAATCAAGAGTGGCTTCCTGGAGGAAGTGTTTGAGCTGGCTCCAGTACTGTCAGCACTGTAGGTGGTGACGCTGAGGAACTGCAGTGTTATTCTGGGCCATGTCTGAGTCTCTGCTGCCAACACGGAGCCTGGTACTCACGGCAGCTGGGGAGAGGGCTGGTGGGGGGATGCATGCCCAATGCGTGGTTCTGCTGCGAGACCCAGCAGGGTGAAGGTAAGCGTGGCAGAGGAGGGTGTCAGTGGACGGGGAAGCTGGAGAGGGTCCTGGAACATGGCTGGTGCCCAGGAAAGGCTTGGCTGCACCCGAGGAAAACTGAGGACGGGTTTTTTTTTTTTTTTTTAGTTTTACCATTTAAAAATATTTCAAAATGTATCTGTAAGGGTAAGAACTCTTTTTAAACTTCATCTCAACACCACAACACCTAAACACAATTAATAATAATCTCTCTTGTATCCAGCCAGCACTTCATTGCCCACACCACTGTCTCACGAACTTGTTTCTGTTTTGGTTGCTTCAGTTACTTTTGTTGTTCAAGTCAGGATGCAAATAAGGTTGCAGTCCATTGATAATGTTTCTTAAGGTTTTAAAAAAATGGTCTATAGATATAATACCTTCCCCAACACCCTCCACCCTCCACCCCCCTCTTTCTCTCATTGATATTTATTTGTTCAGGAAACCTGGTCACTTGCCTTCTAGAGTTCTCCATCACCTGGGTTTGCTGTTCGCATCACTGGCTGTCATTTAAATGTTCCTCTGTCCCCCGAGAGTAAATTGGTCGTGGGGAAGGGCTTGAATAGGGGTCAGATTTGTTTATGGTAGCTGCCTCTCTGCCAGGCAAACACCTGGGCAGGGGTTGGGGCTTGAGGGGACCCCCAAAGAGGCTGGGCAGTGACACAGGGAGGGGGCCAGTTTTATACTGAGCCGTGGGGTGGGGGGCAGTCAGGGAGGAAGAGGGGCTTCGACGTCCACGCGGGTGTCTGGTGGGCTTCTGGGGAAGCTGGAGAGGAGGAGGAAGAGGACGGTGAGGACGAGGGGGTGAGGGTGGGAGTAGGGTCACAGATTTCTCTCTTTTTAGCTCCACAGAAAAGAAACTTTTATTTTTATTTTGTGGGTAATGGAAGTTTTCTTTTATTTATTTTTTATCATGAAAACTTTCAAAATTCTAGAAAAGTTGAATAGTGCAAAGTTCTCCATCAGTTAATTACTGAGATTCAATAATTAGCATGTTGCTCAATTTGCTTTATCTATGGTAAATAAGTAGTCTCTCTCTCTCTCCCTCTCTTTTTGCGGAACCACTTGAAAGTAAGTCATAGACATCATTATACTCATCCCTCCACGGTCGGTGTGCGTCTCCTAAAAATGACAGTCCCCTGCATGACTGTTAGAACTGTTAAAAGAAATGGAAAAAAAATGAGCAAGGAGGCCTAGGGCAGGCTGGGTGGCTCCCCCTGAGATTCTGGTTGTTCGGCCGGATGTGGGACTCATTCCAGAGGGACAGGCCAGAGCAGTCAACAGAATCAGACTAGAATCCCAGCTTTGTCACCTTTAGCTGGGTGACCTTGGGCAACTGTCTTACCCTCTCTGATGTTCAACCTACCCCCAAACCTATGTGCCACACTTGTCTTGAGGCTCAAATGTAGTCAGGTACAGTGCCTGGCACATAGTAGGCATTCTTTAAATGTTTGCATTTTACTTCCCACCCTCTGTTTATAGCCCCTTGCTCTTAGTAGGTATGTGGTAAATGTGGGATGTGTGGATTTAGGAGGCTTCTATGTATGGAGGTACCGCCCTGTGCCCTGTGCTAGGCCTTGCCCCAGTGGAGCTTCAGGACTGTGGGGAAGACCAAGGTCAGTCTGCTGGAAGAAGTGTTAGGAGGGCGAAACTTGCAGAGCTGCCGTGGAGCAGGAGGGCTTCCCTGGGGAGGGGACTGGTGGGCAGAGAGCACAAAGAAGCTGGAGCATTCATTGGACAGGGGGGAGTCGGGGAGAGGGAGTAGGTGAGTGAAGTCACGATGCTCCTCTCAGCTCCTCTCAGCCTCAGCTGCCCTTCGGTAAACTATCTTGCTGGCTTGCTTTGAGGACTTAGGTGACACCCATGTGTGAATATGCTCTGTAAACTGACATTCTGCTGCCAGTTCACCTCAGAAGCCCTTGCTCTGTCCCTTCCCTCTGTCCCCTGTGGTAGGCTCACCTCCTGCTTTTCTCTCCCAGTGTTGGACAAGTGGTGAATATCAAGGCCAAGGTGAACAGGGCCTTCAACTCCAGCATGGAGGTATGCGGGACTGGCACTGCCTGGGAATGAGAGGGTGCTGGGTGGGCTTCCTACTGCCTGTCCACTGTCAGCCCCTGCCCAAGCACACTCGCACTGGCAAAGCCTTGGCGGAGGCAGCGGAGTTCTGAACCAGCTGGCAGGGCTGGGAGGATCCTTCCATCCAATACCCCATAACACAAGGGAAAAGTGAGGCCCAGGGAGGGAAGGGATTTGCCCCAGGTCACCAAACCGCATAGATCCCACTGTGGGACTTGACTTATAGCCTCCTGGGTCTTCGAGCCTAGCTTCAGACCCTGTCTTTAGCAGCCAGGTGATTGTGGAAGTGCAAGGAAGACAGCTGCTGGGCCTGACCCTGGAGGCCAGGGGCTGGAGCAGGGAGAGCACCGGACTCCAGTCCTTAGCTCACTTCCCACAGACTCTGTCACCCCATCTGTGAGGTGGGAGCATGATTCTAGGGTCGCTGAAGGACTCTTGGTGATGCACAGGGTTCTGTGAGCTTTGGGGGAGGGACTCCACCACCCAGGAACGTTAGATCGAGGGCACTTCACCCAGCTGGCCAGTGGTTACCGAGGGACCACTGAGGCTGAGATAGCGGCCCTGTCTGTTCCTCTGGGCCCCCCATAAGTGCCCAGGTACCCCCATATGTCCTTCCTTTCAGTTTCACCAACACTTACCTTAAGCTCTTTCATGAACACAGTCTCATGTTAATCCTCTCAATATTCCTGTGAGGGTGGGTGTATGGTTGTCCCCACTTTACAGATGAGGAAACTGAGGCCCAGAGAAGGGAATTGAATTGCCCAAAGTTTCCCAGAGCCAGGGGCAGAATCAGAACCTACCCCAGGTCTCTAGCCTCCTAGACTGGGTGGGTCTAGGACACAGGTGGCAAACACAAGGCCCACGGGCCGAATCCGGCCCTGGCCCGGTGCCTTGTTTCCGTCCAGCAGCAGTGCCGAGCTCCTTGCTCCTAGTTAAGGAGTAGTTACATTTATACAGTCCTAAAGTTACATTAGGCCCTTCGAAGGCAGCCTTGAGGCTGATGTGGCCCCCGGTGAAAATGAGTTTGACTCCCCTGGTAGGAGAAATACTACTAGAGCCCACGCCTGGGTGGGACTTTGATGCGAACATCGGCCCAGTGTCTGCGTCGTTATGGATGAAATGAGACATTCACACAGACTACTGAGTCCAGTGGAGGGAAAGGGCGGGCATGGCTTCTCTCCCAAGGGGAGCAAAAGCTGCAGCCCTTGCTGTGACTGGGCTTTATTGGGTTTCTCGGCACATTACATGATGGTCCTCATTTACTTTGCACAGGTTGCTTTAGGTGGTTACCTTTTACAGAAAACAAAGGAGTCAATGCCCCTAATCACATCACAGAAGAGGGATATTTGCAAATGAAAAGGGCAAAAGTGGTTGAACCAGTTACACTCATCCTTGGAAGGTTTAGCATGGATATTAGGAAGTTAGCCTGCAGTAAATGTTTGTCACTGGGGGCTGGGCCCACACCAAGCAGAATGGTTTCCTATCGGACTTCCTATCTCCTCGGGCTGTGGGGCTTCAGGTGTGCGAGCTCCTCGTCTTCCCTCCTCACTCCTCCACCTACTCTCCCTCACCAGGTGGGCATCCAGGTGGCCTCCGAGGACCTGTGCTCTGAGAAGCAATGGAACGTGTGCAAGGCCTTGGCCACCTTCGTGGCCCACCGTGAACTCTCCAAGGTAGGTGGCTACACCTGGCTGCTTGACACTGCTGGGCCACCTGGCCACCGGGCATGGCGGGCCTGGACCAGGGCAGTGAGGCTGAGGTTTGGCAGAGGGGTGGAGGCCACAGTATGGTAGGGAATCTGCAGCCCCTAGAGGAAGGCCCACCCCCCACTGCTGTCTGGCCCCAGGACCCCTCCCTCTCTCCTTTTCCCCACCCCTCCCTGTGTGTCTCACATTAGAATTCTTTGGGTCTCACCATTCTCTTTCATGTCCTGCAGTGACCCCCACCCCCATCCCTTGTGCCTTTATCCCAGAAGGGAGCCTGGGGTCATTTGGAGGGTGTACATGGGGTATCGTCGACATGGAGACAGGAAAATGTGGACAAAGGAGGTGACAGAGGCTTGTAACCATCTAGCAACCCCAGGCATGAGATGGCGGTGGGGGGGACAGGCCCGGGCACTGTTTCAGAGAACCTGTCCCAAGCACCCTCCACCCCACCCCTGCCCCATAGGTGAAGCTGAAGCAGATCACGCCACGGACAGAGGAGGAGAAGACTGAGCACAGCGTGGCAGCCGAGCGCCGGCGCATGCGGCTGGTCTACACTGACACTATCAAGGACCTCCTGGCCAATTACGTCATTCAGCATAGTGAGTGGCTGAGGATGGGGCGGGCAGCTGGTGTTTCCTCTCTGCCCTGGGCCCCCACTGGGCAGAGGGAGGGAAGGCGTTTCCTTGGGATGTCTACCCACTGGTGGCCTCAGGCCTGTCTGGCCCTCTTGCCTCAAGGTCTCCTTCAGTGAAAGGGGAGTGCCTCTGAGCTCCCAGCAGCCATGAGAAGGCTTTATCATCCACAAATGCATTTGGGTCTTTAGGATATAAGGTACTTGGGAAGGTTGTATTGAGCTTGAACTTGAAGACTCTAGGATTCGTAAAAACCATGTAGATAGGTAGGTAGGTAGATACATAGATAAATATAAATGTAGGTATATGTATGGGCATAAATACAGAGCTAGAGATAGAACAAAAGGCAAGACTCTCCTGCCCCAGAACCCAGGTCCCCTCCAGAGGAACATACTGGTTCTCATCTTTGGGGATCTTTCCAGAAGCATTCCTTGCATTTTAAGTCCACCGCATGTCATCTAGACCCTTTTTTACTCCGAAGGGGATATATGGCACATACTGTTCTGTATCTTGCCTCTTCCTCCTTAAAAGTGTATCTTAGAGATTGTTCTGTACCAGCATGCTCAGATCTACGGTGGACTGGCAGGATGTGGACAGGTGGAGAGGATGTGGAGTATTTCTTGAAACTTTAAGGAGACAATTTTAGGACAAATCGAAGATAGTTTAGCTCCCCAGAGCAGGGAGGAGCAGAACTAGCTAAACCCAGTGAGATCAGTGGGCTGTGCTTCTAATTTTGTGTGCCCTATTTATTCTGGGCCTGAGGGCTGTGGCTGGGCAGGTTCAGCTCTCCCTACAGTCGGTTGTCAAGGCGCCCTGCAGCCACCCTTCTGACTGCAGCCCCCCTAAGTCCCTCCTGTCCTCATAGCCCTTCTGCCCCAGGATGGATCCAAATGCCCTGGCATGGCATGCAGGCCCTTGGCTGACTGCTCAGCCTCGTCTGGTGCTGTCCCTTACATGCCCTCTGCTCCCACTGAGCCAAGGCCTGGCTGCTCCCTGTGACTGTGCCTGTCCTACCATCCTGCCTCCAGGCCTTGGCTCAGGCCCGTAACCTCCCTACTCCCTGCATCTGGCATCTGTGAGCAGCCTGCAAGCCAAGCAAAATGTTGCCTATTTGGTGGGCCCTCTCTGCTGAAGTCTTCCTCCCTGGAAGGTGGCACTTCCTTGGGTTGGGTGGGGCATGTCAGCATCTGATTCCCTGACCTCTCTGGCCTTTCCTACTGAGGGTACCTTAAAGCCATTGTCCCTGAGGGATAGGGCAGGTCAGGGAAGGGGGAGGGAAGAACTACCCTTTTTGGGAGTGTACTACCAAGTTTGGTGCCAGGCACTATGGGACCGAGATTGCATTTCATCTTCACAGTCCTGTTGGGCTGGGTTTGTCATCTGCCCTTCACGATGGGGAAATCGAGGTTCAAGAGAGGTTATTTGACTAGCCCAAGGCCATACACCCTGGATGGGGTGGAGCTGAAGTACAGACCCAGTTGTGTGTTGTCTGAAAGCTGGTTTCTGCCCCTGCTCTGTGCCAGCCTCGTCCCTCTCTGCGGTCTCCTTCCCTTCCTCCTGTAGGTCCTGCACACTGGTGCCGAGGAAACGGAACAATGTGGCTGGGGCGGAGAGGTGGCGGTGGGCTCCTGGGCTGCCCGTGGGGAGGCTCTGCCCTTGGGAAGCTTCTCACCACCCCTCTCTCTCTTCCTGCCCCTCCTTGGTCAGATCTGGAGAGCAGAGACTGCAGCTACATGGTGCCGGCTGAGAAGACCCGCGTGGAGAGTGTGGAGCTGGTCCTGCCGCCCCATGCCAATCACCAGGGCAACACCTTTGGGGGCCAGATCATGGCCTGGATGGAGAATGTGGCCACTATCGCAGCCAGGTGAGGGGAGAGTGTATTGCCTCTGCCTCTGCCTCCCTTCCTTTCTCCGCTCCTTCCCTTAGCCAGCTCCAGGGTAGAAACCCCAGGGTGGTGTTGGCATTCCAGGCTCCAGGAGCTTGGCTGTTCTGTTAAGGTACCTGAAACATTCCGATGCAGAGAACCAGAAAACAGTGATTTTCCCTGAGCAGGCCATTCCTTCTTTGACTGAAAAAGCCCTGCGTGGGTGGGCGGCTTTCTTCCCCCAGGGCATGCGTGCTCTTGGGAGAGCACTCCGGTGCCTCACCTCCCTCTTCTCTCTCTCAAGGCGAGTATCTCTCTCCCTCTTTCTCCTAAGCTCCAAGGGCCCTTCTGCTACCTCTGTAACTTTCTAAATAAATGTTAACTTGTAATTTGGGGGGAAAATAAAAGCCCTGCACAGTTCTCATTTCCTGCCCAGGACACACCAAGTCTCTGGGCCTGGTACCGTGGCCTCCCCTTGACCTGGCCTTGCAGCTGCCTTCCTGTATCTTACACTCCTTGCACACCAAGCCATTTGCCCTTCCCCTTCCCACCCTCCAAGTTCCCAGTGCCTTTGCTCCTGGTCTAACCCCCTACTGTGCCACTCCTCTATTTGCTGTTTGCTAAAAGCCTGCCCGCCTCTTCCATGAAGCCTCTCTGACTATTCCCTTCTTCCTAGAGGTGAAACACTCCTTCCTTCTTTTCTGAACTCTGAGCCTGTCTTGGGCTCATCCTATCCTAAATAACAGTGCATTTTTATAGTTAGGATACTGATATTAACTAAATGATACTCTTATACCTTCATAACTTTGTACTTGCTGTTTCTCCTGCCAGGAGTGCTCTTCCCAACCTACACCCTCCTTGGGCAAATTCTTCCTTACCCCTGTCCTTGTTCCAGTGGCCCCTTCTCTGTGTTAAATGGGTGGCACACAATGCCTAAGCAATGCCCTTTTAGGCAGCCCAAGCTATGAGTGCAGTGAGATCTCAGAGGACAGTCAGAGTCCGGATAGTCAGAGAAGACTTCCTGGAGGAAGAGCATTTCAGCTGGGCCTTGAATGACAAGTAGCTTTGGGTAAGGGGAGGGCTTCCAGGTAGAAGGGACAGCAGATGCTAAGATATAAAGGTTGGAAGGAAAATGGGGTAGGGATTACTCCAAGCCCTGCCCTAGGCTCTCGTCCGTCACCTCAAACTCAGCTGCTCTTAAGCTATGCACGTAGACTTCAGTATTTTGAGCTCTGAAGTGAGACTTAGTCCTGATCCTTTGGGCAGAGCAGTCACTGGTGGGAGTGGGTAGGCCTGAAGGTGGGGCCTGCGGTTTGCCTGGGTCTGGGGATGGGGGTAGAGGAGGAGGCTGACTCAAACCAGTGGCTGAAGCACTGAGGGCATTTCTTCTGTCCCCCAATGCCTGGCCTCCTCCAGCCGGCTGTGTCGTGCCCACCCTACACTGAAGGCCATTGAGATGTTTCATTTCCGGGGACCATCCCAGGTTGGGGACCGGCTGGTGCTCAAGGCTATTGTGAACAACGCCTTCAAACATAGGTGAGGGGCCAGGATGGGCGGGACCGGGGATCTGGGGGCAGAAGGCTCTTCCTCGCCCGAGAAGGGACCCTATTGCACACCCGCCAGGAACCTTTTACTCTGCATTCGAGGTCTAAACCCTGCCCCGCTGCCGGGCAAGATCCGGCACCAAGGTCCAGCCTCAGTGTTCCCTCCACTGGGCCCGCCAGCCCCAGGTCTCCTGCTGTCTTGGATTGCACCACCTGTTCATCATGTGTCTCTCCCGGCTCCTGCCTCCGTGCCTGTCACACTGCGGATCACAGGCCACCTATTGACAGTATTCTGTTGTCATCAAACCTTTTCCACCCTTTGCCTACAACACATTTTAATCTCCAAGAACCCTCATCTTTGAAATGAATCCTGACACCCACTACCATGAAAGCTCACCTTAAATAGCTATCTTTTTTGGTGATTTCAAAGATCATAGGGTAGTCAATCAGAGTGAAGGATCTGGAGCCAGGCAGCCTGGGTTCCAGGTGGGCTCACCTCCTACCAGTTGTGTGACTTGGGGCAAATTACTTAACTCCTCTGAACCCCAGTTCACACCTGGTAAAATGGGGCTCACCACAGCTGTCTTATAGTTTTAAGTATCCAATGACATGTTACTAGTAGAATGGCAAAGAGGAGGTTCAGTGAAGGTCAGCCATTGCCGCTGCTGCCGCTGCCACTGCTGTTACTATTATTATTATTATTATTATTATTATTATTATTATTATTGTTCACGGCCTGACCAGCACAGATTCTGCTGCCGTGAACAGGGAGTTGCAAGGCCCGGTTTCTAGTCCAGATTCTCCTCCCGACTACTGTGTGACTGTGGGCCAGCTGTTGCCCTGTTCAGGTGTTGGCCTTCCCGCCTGTATAACATCTACATTCTGGGATCAGGATCATCTTCAGTGAGGGGGCTGGTGGTGGCTGCTATTTTATAATTAATAAAAGAGTCAGACATACAGAAGCTGCAGCCACTGAGCTGTTAGCATGCTGCTGATCGTATAATGAACATTTTTTTCTCATTAGGCTCCGTACCCCCATCCATCTCCTTGCTTATGTTCTCTATAACATGTTGTCATAACATGCTATCATTACCTATTATATATGTGTGTGTGTGTATATATATGTTGGTTGCTGCACCCCTATCTGTCAGCTTACAAGGTCATGGACTGGACGGGCTTCTTCATTTCTGTGTCCCCAGTGACTGGCGTAGGGCCAGGGATGCAGTAGGTGGTGCTCTGTAAACACTGACAGGAGGGAACTGTTCTGGGTTTCCTGCCAGTGGGGCTCTGATCTGGGAAGAGCTGCAGGAGTGCCTGTGTGTGCACACACCACGTGGGCGCATGTGCGTTGGGGAGTGGGGAGGGCCTGGCCAGTGTGAGAGCAGCCCTCCCTCCCCCACAGCATGGAGGTGGGCGTGTGCGTGGAGGCCTACCGCCAGGAGGCTGAGACCCATCGGCGGCACATCAACAGCGCCTTCATGACCTTCATGGTCCTGGATGCAGATGACCAGCCCCAGAGGCTGCCCTGGATTCGGCCCCAGCCTGGGGTGAGTGGGTGCAGCACCCTGCCCTTCCACCAGCTCCCCTCCTTCTCTGCCCAGGGTGGAGGAGGCTGCTGGCCCCTGATAGGCCCCAAGGATGACAGATCCAGCTTGGCCCCTTTGCTGGGGCACGGCCAGTGCTGACTGCCCCAGTGTGACCCCTGGATGCTTTCCTTGTACCCAGTGGGAAACTTGTTCTGTCTGAGAGCATTCAGATCCTGCATGTGGGCCTGGCTCGTAGTGGGTGTGACAGAGTTGGAAGAGCCCTGGCCTTGAGGTCAGGTGTGGGTCAGAACCACCTCTGCCACATTCTAGTGGGCATCCTCTGTGAGCTCCCAGCCCTCGTCTGTAAAGCAGGTGCACCTGCAGGCCAGGTCTCTCAGGCTGTGGGGGTCTGCGGGCTATTGACCCTGGGCCCGGCTAAGGCCTGCAGACACTCAGGAAGTGGTGACTGTTCTGATGATGGTGACAGGAGGGCAAGGACACAGGGATGAGAGCCAGGGCCTTGGTTCAGAGGTTGTCCCTTACATAATGCTCCCTTGTGCCTCCAATGGGCCAGGCCTGGCTTGCTTGTGGAGGGCCAGGGAGTGACGCTGGAGAGGCTGTTCCCTCTCTCTGGCGAGGTCCCTGTCCTGCCTGCCCGTCTGCCTCACAAGGCTGAGTACAGGCTGTGAAATTCCCATTCCACAGCTGGGTGTTGGGCAGTCAAGAGTGGAAGGGGGGGGGGCAGTCCGGCAGACGGGCAGCACAGTCTGCAGGCCCCGGGCACCTTCCAGGCCTTTGCCATTCAATGTTCATGAGCCTGGACGCGTTAGAAGTAGTCACTATGCGGGCGGGCTCCGAGTCAGGCCCTTGGGGTTCTGTTCCCAGCTCCACTCTCCCCTGTGACCTTGGGCAAGCCACTTAGCCTTTCTGTGCCTCAGTTTCCTTCTCTGTAAAATGAGGGATCGTACTAGTCCCAACCTCAGGGTTGCCAGAAGGCTTACATGCAATTTTGCGTGAAAAGTACTTTAGAATAATGCCTGGTACATAGCAAGTGCTCTATAAATGTTTCTTTTTAAACAATTATTGATTTTAGAAAGAAAGAGGAAAGGAAAGGGAAAGACCCATCAATCTCATTCCCCCGTTTGTGCATTCACTGGTACTTGTATGTGCCCTGACTGAGGACTGAACCCGCAACCGTGGTGCATCAGGACGATGCTCCCATTGAGCTACCAGCAGGGCGATAAATGTGGTTTCTTATTACCACTGTAAGTGCCCTGAGGGACCCCCTTCTACCAAGGGGGAGACTGAGGCCTGGTGAGGGCAGGTGGCATTCCCAGTCACTCAGAGGGACGGGCTGGAGCTCAGTGGCCTGGTGTTTGCTGTCCAGGTTGCTTCGGCTCCTGCTGTCCCGATGAGTCCTGAATACCTTACGGCTGCAGGGCCTCCTTGGGCCCTTGTGCCAGCACTGTCAGACGGTGCCAGGGGTGGGGGCATGCCAGTTGTCCCACCTGTATCATAGTTTGTCCCCGCTTCTCTTCCCAGGACGGTGAGCGGCGTTACCGAGAGGCCAGTGCCAGGAGGAAGATCCGCCTGGACAGGTGAGTTGGGGCTGGGCGGTGGGAGGGGACGCAGGGTCCAGGGCTGTCCACCCGCTCCCCTAGTCTCAGGGATTTGCATTTCTTTGATGCTGCCCCTGTGCTGGGCACGGGCTGGGCCTTTCACCTCCGTGTAGCGTCATTCCACAGCCGCCTGACTGGCCCACTGTGTCGTGAGGGCACCGATAATGGAGGGAGTGTGGCCTCAGGCGCACAGGCAGGGATGACGAGCTAGCAGAGTGAGAATTTGAACCCGGCTGGGTCTGGCCAGTTTAAAGTCTTTTGTTCCTTCCATTGACTCTGATGCCCCTTTGGCCGATGGAGAAAGAAAGGCCCTGAGAGGAGAAGTGATTGCTCAAGACAAAAACCCAGGTCTGAGCGACTCTGCTAAGGAAGCTCTTCACAAACTGAAAAGAGTTGAGCACACACCTGAGGTCTCTACCACATTGTTGTTAATGAGAAAAGCTTCTTTATGGAGGATTTATGGGCCCAGCACTGTTCGAATGATGACCCTACGAGGCAGGTGTGACTACAGATCCCATCTCACAGATGGGGACACTGAGGCATGGGGGTGAAGTCGCTTTAGCTCAGCCAGGGTGTAAGGCACCGGCATCAGCACCGGCGCCCTTCCTCTGGCCCGTGCACCTCTGTCCGAGTCTGCATGTTCGCACTGCTGTGTTCCGTGTACCCGCCCAGTCTGCCCGGGCAGACAGGAGCCTCTCCCACCTCCTGGGCCGAGCACAGGGCCGGCACACGGTTGGCACGCAGTGCATTCTATCCACAGAGATGGGCTCCCGAGGGGTCAAGGTTGTCATCTCTCTCTCCTAGGAAGTACATCGTGTCCTGCAAGCAGACAGAGATGCCTCTCTCTGTCCCCTGGGACCCTAGCAACCAGGTAAGGCCCTCGGCTCTGACGGGAGAGTCCCTCGGGCCCACTGGTGCCCCCACCTTCCCTGGTGTCAGAGTGGGTTTGGAGGCAGGCTGGAAGAGGACAGGGTGCTAGTGCCTCAAGGTTCATTCAGTTAGCAAAGGGCTTTCCTTTGTCCCTGTTTGGCAGGAGGGGCTGAGGCCCTGAGAGGAGGTATGGCTTGTCCAGGTTACTGACTAAGTCTGGCCAGGCCCAGGCCTCCTCCCTCAAAGCCCAGTACCCATCCTCCTCCATGACTCAAGTTCTTTTCCTCCCCCAACATGGCTTTGGCACCACACCCTGAGGAAGGGTGGAAGGCGAGGCATCTCTGTGTTCCCTGTCCAGGTGTACCTGAGCTACAACAATGTCTCCTCCCTGAAGATGCTCGTGGCCAAGGACAACTGGGTGCTGTCCTCGGAGCTCAACCAGGTAGCTGACCCTGCCCACCCGCCCACCATTTCTCCTCTGAGCAGAGGTGGCCGATGGCAATCAGCACGAGGTCTCTCAAGTCACTCATGTCAAAAGGGGATGAGATCATGAAGCCGACCCACTCACGGAAATGCCTGTCCTCACAGGGCCTGGAGCAGAGAGCCTCCGAACCCTTCTCCCCTGCCCACCCACCTGCCTGTCCCCCTCTCCCATCCCTGCTGCTCTTTGCCCAGCCACTTTGTCCCTCTCTCTGTTCCTTGTACTGTGAGTTACAGCAGGGATGCGTGGGGCGCAGTGGACAAACATGGGCTGAGGGAAGACAAGCTCTGCCTCTCTTGCCTGTGCTCTAGGACGTCACTTCCCCACCCATGACACTAGGGGGTTGGTGGGCACCTGGCTCTGAAGAGCTATTCCATTGTTGCCCCAGTCACTGCTTTGTAAGACATGTTTCTGTCCACTTGTGCTGAATTCTCCCAGCATCTTCATTCACAGGAATGGGACTGGGGCTCAGAGAGGTTGAGTCACTTATCCATAGTCACACAGCAAGTCAGTGGTGGTCCTGAGCTTGCAGCTCCGGCCTCCCACATCCCAGTCAGTCCACCCACCACTGGCCTAGCCTGGGGAGGGGGATGCAGGAATGAGGCCACCCTCTGTCCCATGCAGGTCCTTCTGTACACTCTGGAGGATGACAAGTACCTCTCTTTCCACATGGAGATGTTGGTGCATGTGGATGTGGCCCACGCCTTCCTGCTGCTCTCAGACCTGCGTCGGAGGCCTGAGTGGGACAAGCATTACCAGTAAGGGCCAGGGCACAGGTGGGGTAGGGTCTCCTCTCAGGCTTGGTGGGGAGCGTGGGCCCTTCGGTGTCCTTCTGCTGAGCACCCTTATGCTCAGCCACAGCTGGTCTTTTGCCGGGGTTGGCAGGGGGGACTGTTGTTATCTGTTAGGTGAGGGTCAGAGTCAGGGTCAGGGTTATTCTGAGCCTTCAGAGAAGGGACTGAACCTGGAGTTGTTGAAGGCCTGGTCCTGTTTCTGGTCCAACTGGCTGTGTGACCTTGGGCAAGTTGCTTTCTTTCTGGGCCTTATTTTCCTCCTCTTAAAATGGGTGCGTAAGGGGGTGACTCATGGATTTACACTCAGGGACAGATCAGTGATTTTCAGTCTGTGTTCTGTGGAGTTTCACATTCCCAAAAGAGTTTCAGCTACTGCTTGGGGTGGGCATTGGGAGGCTGGAAGGGTGGGTGGGATTCAGGCCAGCTGACAGAATGGCCAACTTGCTGGACTTACCATGTGTTCACTCTCCATATGGCTATGTATGCAAATATGTTATTTTTAATGTAGCAAATGACTGAATACAAATGTTACTCCTACAAATACATTTGTTCCCCCAATTGACTGATTCTTCATATGAATATCTTCTTGCATTTAGTCAGGGAGACAGGTTCTTAGGAAAATAGCCAGAATTCCAGTGTTCAATATGGGAGTGTTAAGTTGAAAGTGGTATTTTGCCGAATCCCTTTGAAATAACTTTCTGTTATGCCAATGCTCTGCTTGGGCAGGGGCTTCTTTGATCATTTCCGCAATGGCTTATTATGAGGAGCGGGTACTCCTGAGTTTATCCGTAAGGAGCACCTCTGCTTTTAGAAGTTCGGTGAGCAGGACATTTTTTTTTTTAATATTTTATTTATTTATTTTTAGAGAGAGAGGAAGAGAAGGAGAAAGTGGGAGAGAAACATCAGTGTGTGGTTGCCTCTCATGTGTCCCCTGCTGGGAACTGGCCTGCAACCCAGGCATGTGCCCTGACTGGGAATTGAACCAGCAACTCTTTGCTTCACAGGCCCGTGCTCAATCCACTGAGCTACACCAGCCAGGGTGTGATGAATTGAACGTCTCCCTCCTACCCCAATATGTCCTCACTAGAGCAGGCCCGCTTGTAGCTGTCAATACACAGGCTTTCTGCTCAAGATTTCTTTGCAAAAAGGGCTGTGCTGCTTTAAAAAGCCCTGGTCTGTCTAGGTGACCCCAGGCCTGCTGGCAGTGCCATCTGAGAAGACTGAGAGGTGATCGGTGGTAGATATTGGGGAAGCTGGCTCTGTGGTAGGAAGGCTGCTTGAAGGAGGCAGGCTGGTGTGGGCCTTGAAGGTCAGATCAGATTGTGATCCTTGATGGGGTCGGGGGACGTGGCCAGAGAGGAGAGAGAGCCCCTTGCTGCTTCTCCCCACGTCCCCACTCCTGAAGCAGCCTCTGAGTGCGGGCAGAACAGCAGGGGACAAGGTGACAGGGTCGTGTGCACCTCTGTGGATGTCCTCACGTATGCTTATGTGTGCATGTGCGTTGGTATAAGCCTATGTGAGTGTACGGGTCCATGGGCACAGTGAACCCAGGCCTGAGGGGCGCAGCCCTGGCACGCGACAACCTGGGTGCACCCCAGCTCTGCTGCCTTATTAGCTCTGTGGCTGTGGGCGGGTTGTTTCCCTCCTCTATGAAACGGGGCTGCTAGGTGTGCCTGCTACCTGGGCCGATATGGGGTTAAATGCTTAGTTCAGGGAAGCACTTAGAGCTGTGTCTGGCACACGGAGGGCACTCACTAAATGTTTTGTACAAACAGTAAATGGTCATACCTCTGTGCGGGTGTGTGCACATGCACAGGCATGCCCAGATGTGCATGGTCCATGAGCGCATGGTGGTTCATCCCTGTGTCTGTGCAAGAAGGTGCTCCAGGTGTGTTGTGTCTGTGTGCGTGTCCATCTGTTCCCATGTCTGCACCTGTGTATTTGTTTGTGTGCGCGCACACATGTGCATGAACGCATCTGGGCCGGGCCTTCCTGTCCTCTCATAGACCCTGCTGAACTGTGTAGGGACTGAAGTGTCTTCTAAGCCTTGACTCATGGAGAGCTGGGGCAGACCTGCTCTCCTACGAGGAGTTGATATGACACTCTTGGACCCTGAGCTCTGGGCCTCCCCACAGGAGCGTGGAGCTAGTGCAACAGGTGGATGAGGACGATGCCATCTACCACGTCATCAGCTCCGCTCTTGGCAATGACCCCAAGCCTCAGGACTTTGTGATCCTGGCCTCCCGACGGAAGCCTTGTGACAACGGGTAGGTGCCTGCCTGCTGGGGTGGGAGGTGGGCAGGGGGCCTCTCCCTCCCCAGGGAGGCCGACATCAGCCTAGAGTTGGCTCCATGTTTCCTATTGGCTCTGGGACCCTAGGTGCCACCTGGCTTTTCTGAGCTGTCATGTGTGAGATGGGATCAGGGAACACACCCCACCTCTGGTCACTCATGCTCTAAAGCAGGGTAGGCTCTGACCCCGAGGTGGCGAGGCCTTTTCTCACATGGAACTGCTTGGCCTCCATCCTCTGACTGCCCCAGGCTGGCCGAAGGGCGGCTCGTCTGCCAGCTGTGCCTTGGTAAGGATGACAGAGCAGATGGCCTCAGTTGTGCTAGAGAGAGGCACAGGAAGGCGGAGCATAAAACCCCAAAGCCCACCACTCCTTCCTAAGGGGCTGGCCCAGGAGATCTGCCCCGAAGCCACGCCGGCTCCTGGTAAATGTGGTGCTGCTAACACACAGGTGGGTGCCTCCTCTCTCCGGCCCGGCCGGAGCCAGCTGTGCCTTTCAGAGTTGACAAGTGTTTAGACTCCGGTGTCAGTGCCGGAGGAAGCTCCAGAGCCTGGGTCAGTGCCAGAGCAGGGGTTCCGGAGCCTGGACGGACTGGGCAGCACAAACCCTCGTATTCTCCTTCTCTGCCCCTCCCCACTCTCCTTCATTCCAGGGACCCCTATGTTATTGCACTGAGGTCAGTCACGCTGCCGACGCACCCTGAGACACCCGAGTACAGGCGTGGGGAGACCCTCTGCTCAGGCTTCTGCTTATGGCGCGAGGGGGACCAGATGACCAAGGTGAGGCTCGGGGTCCCCTACACCTCCACCCTGATCCACCCTAAGTTCACATGCACACAGAACTTGATGCTGTCTGGCTCATACAGTTCTGGCCCTGGGCCCCCACCTCTGCCCCGTGGTGGGCTCTTCCAGCTTGGGGAAGCCTAAGGACGTGGGGGGCTAGAAGTAAGCCTTCATTAAGATCTAATATGTGCAGAGAAGTCTGAGGCCACTGCAGGGTCTGGGGAAAAGCCCTGGATGCTACAGGCAGAAGGCCTAGGTTCTGATCTACTATTCATCTTATTGACTCACATATCCCTTCTTGTCTAGGAAGGCTTTATGTGGTTCTCAGGGCCCATCAAACTCAGCAGGGCTGTTGGTGTTGAAAATGTGGGGGAGGGGGTTAGGGTGTACACAGCCCACCTCCGTGGCTCACAGCTGTGGTTAGGGCCCTGAGACTTGTTCAAGTAATGCACTTAACGGATGAGCTTCTCAGGACAATCCCTGGGCTTAGTTGTAACCTGTCTCCAAAGCCCCAGCAGACCTTCATTTAAACCAGATTCTGTGTTGGGCTCTGGAAACCCAATCCCTGTCTTCTAGGGTCTCCCAGCTGGCAGGGGAGACCCCCGTGACAGTGTGGTGTCAGGGAAGCTAGGGTCAGGGGAAACCTGATGCGGGAGGTCACACCTGCCAGTCATGTGGCCTCCTAAGAGCCCAGGCTGCTCCTGTCTCAGCAGGCTTGCAGGGCTGACTCCCCACGGCCCACGTGGCTCCCGCCCCTCCCCAGCCCAGCCTCCCTGAGTGCGGCTTCCTGCCCTGCAGGTGTCCTACTACAACCAGGCCACCTCGGGCTTTCTCACCTATGTGACCACCAATGTGGCCGGCCTCTCCTCTGAGTTCTACGACACCTTCAAGGCCTGCGAGAAGTTCCTTCTGGACAACCGGAATGACCTGGCCCCCAGCCTCCAGACCCTCTAGGCACCTGCAGCAGCACCTCACTCCCACTCCATCCTGCCAAGGACACGTGCAGTGCATCGAGGGAGGCAGAGGCATTTATTTCTTCCCGCCTCCCCCAGGGGAAGCACCACTGGGTGGTCAGTTTCTGCCAACATCTGCCAGCAAGTCTCTGCGATAACTCTGGGGCAGCCTGTAGTACACCCGGGTGCTGTCCACGGCCCTGGCTGCCAGCAGCACTGTCCGCACGGATGCATAGCTGTCCTCCGCAGGGCTGTGTTCCACTGTGACGGTGGCCCGGGGGGAGGCTGCCAGTAACCTGGCCACAACTCCAGCCACACTCTGGCCCAGCGGCCCCACCTGCAGCTGGAAGGACACAGGTTGCCAGAGACCCTGGCACAGCTCCAGCATATCTGTGACCAGCTGTTCCCTGTAGCCACTGCCTAGTACCTCCTCAGGCCAGCCCGGTGCCACTGTCACGTGGGGGAAAACCTCAGACACAGCTGTAAGCAACTCTTCGCCGGCCACGTGGCCAGGCACTGCAAAACTCCCATAGGAGACGGTGGTCCCCACCCACACGGGCCGAGAAAGGTGACCAAGGTCGGAGAGGTGGGCCAGCACGGCCAGGGACGGCCGAAGGGCCTCAGGCTCTGCTATGTGCAGATGGACTCCCCAGTGTCCAGGATGCGTGGCGAGCTGCAGCAGACAGGACTCCAGCGTCAGGGCAGGGCTCTCCGGGGCACGTACGACGGGCACGGCGTCCCCAGCTGCGGGCTCCCGGAGGCTGATGTTCAGCAGGACCATGCCTTCTTTGTCTGGAAGAGGCGGTAGAGGCAACAGTGACTGGGGTTCGGTTATCATGGGGTGTCAGAGCCCCTTGTAAAAGGGGCAGCAGAGAGGTAATGGGCAGCCAAGGAGGAGCAGCTGGTGCCTCCGCTGTCTGGAACCTGGGGACTGGGTCTGAGCTTTAAGTGGAAGAGCTGCTTCAGGAATATGCCCAGGGCTCATCGCAATGACATGAGAAGCTGCCAGCTCAGCTCCCAGCCCTTGCTAGTGGTTTAGCTGTGGGGCTGCGCCCACATCTCTCATAGCACAATGTGGCTAAGGGCTCAGGGTGCTGGTCTGAGGGCCAGGAACTCCATCCCCTTGGCAACACCGTCCTCCCCTAGCTCCTAGCTGGCATGTGGCCATGGTAACAGAGTCCCTCTAGCTTAGCTAGTAGCACAGGGGCTGTTGTCAGACCTCACCTGGGAGCCGAACTGTTGCTGCTGTTCCGTTGCTCTGGATGTCGGGAACCTGCCACTCCACCCTCAGGCTGTCACCCCCGGGAAGCTGGAGAAGAGGGATCAGGCTGCTCCCTGTGTAGTAGTTTCGCTTCCGTGTGGCATTCACTGTGGGGTCCCAAATTGTCACAATATAGCAGCCACCATTCACAGAGCGCCTTCTGTGAGCCGTGGCTCAGCACGCTTTCTGACCCTCACAGTAACCTGCTGGTAGCTGTGATTTCCCCTTATGTAGATGACAAGAAGTGACTTGCCCAAGAGCCTACAGCCACTAGCAGAGTTGCTGGGATTGGAACCCGAGGGAGCCAGGTTTGCCTGGCCCCAAAGATGTTATTCTTCCCCCTCACCCAGGTGGCTCCCAGGGAAGGACTGCTGAATCTGATGGGTCCCCTTTGATGTGGCTTAATGGCAGGTTCTGCTAGGTTTGGTGTCAAGGGAATGGGCGGTGCGAACAAGAGAACAGGTAGCACCTGGATCACTGATTAGCAGGTGGAGCACAGAGGTCACTCTCTGAAATGTTAGAGTAACCCATAGAGAAACTATGCTGCCAGGAACAAGTGTACGGGGTTTGACATTTTCTGGGTTCCAGCCCGAGCTGTGCCACGCACAAGCTGAATGAGTTTGTAAATCTCCCTGTGCCACCCAGGATGTCCCCCTCCAATGTCCAGCCCCTCCAGCTCCGCTCCATTGTCCACCAGGCGCTGCCCGGTGCAGAATCCAGCCCACGACCCTTCCCCACCCTCCTAGGTCACTCCCTACTGGCAAGCTGCTTGAACTTCGACAGGACGGGCTCGAAGAGGTCATAGTAGATTTGGTGGGTGGCACAGTTGTCTCGGAAGTAGAGGAGATCGTCCACTGACACTGGGTCCACGGAGCCCTGCCACAGCGTCAGGCTGTACCTGGGGCCCAGAGAGCAGGCTCGGCGTCTGTCTGGGCCCAGCTTGGTCTTCAGTCCCTGTGCTCAGAACCAGACCTTAGCTGGGCAAGGGTGGAGCAGCTGACTTCCCACCAGCCCTTGCTTCCAAAGCACTACCCCCTTCCTGGGGCCAGAAGAAGGAATGACAACTGAAAGTGGGAGCCCAGAAGGAGGGAGAGGATGCCTATTTCCTGTTTTAGGAAAGGGTCAAGGACAGAATGGGACAGGCACAGGGGATGGCGGGAGAAGCCAGGTGTGGAGGAAGGGGGAAGCCTCAGCGTCCTGTGGGGAGCCGCTGAGGGTGGGGCAGGACGGCTGGGAACAACTGCAGGAGTGGAGACGGGGGCTGTGCTGGGGCAGAGGCGGCAGGTACAGTCTGGGCAGCCCCACCGCTGGTTGCCGTGGGAGGAAGCTGTGGGGAGACAAATCGTGTCTCAGTGTAAACTCAAGACAGGCAGAGACTTACTTGTCCACCAATGGACGGGCTGCCTCAGGTGATTGTGAACAGCCTGTCGCCAGAACTATGCAAGCAGAAAGGGATGGTGTACGGGATGTAAGCACCAGCGGGTGAGACCCTGCCAGCCATGAGCATCTAGGATCAGTGCCTGGGGTGGGTTTGGCAGGGGCAGGGGCTGTGCCAGGGGCTGGGAGTTTTCACCTGTCAGACTGGCCCAGCAGCCAGCTGAAGTAGGGCCAGGCAGCCCGCACCATGACAGCCCGCACGGGGAAGGTGACCCTCTGTGGCAGTGCTCCTACCAGCCCCTGCATCTTCTCTACCATGGCTCGGGTGTATGTGCTGTTCGGGAACAGGGGCAGGTAGAGGGTGGTCCAGCCTGGAGACAGGGTAGCCTCAGGGTACTTTTCCTGGACCAAGGCCAGGAACCTGCAGAGAATCAGAGACACTGGTTTCTTTGAGCCCAGCTGGCCCTTCCTCGTCTCCTGGGTTCCCATCATGGTGCCAGGAAGTGGCCGGGCCTATTGAGTCTATAAAGGTACGAACAGGGTCCTAAAGAGCAGAAGTGGCTTGTTTAAGGTCCCACAAATAGGGCATGAATTTTGGAGTCAGTGGGGTATGGGTTCAAGTCATGACTGTGACCTTGGCAGCTCATTCAACCTCTTTCACTCTCAAAGATGGCATCCCTGGGGGTGGGGAGGGGTGTGTGGCAGGGCCTCTTAAAAGTCCCCGTGTGGACAGAGGCAATGAAATCCAGAGCCCCAGGGGTGGAGATCTAGGCTCTTTCTGCTGCAAGAGTCTCTGAAGCTTCAGATTTGACCTCAGAATTTCACTCAGATTTGGCCCTGGTGCAAATTTTAATAGGCAAAAAATGTCTCCAGACCCTTCTCCCCAGACTATTGAGTAAAATCAATACTCCCAGAAGGCAAACCATATTTATCTTGTGCCACTGACTACATTTTCCAAACTGCTGCTTTCCAAATGCACCTCATGTGAGAATCACCAAAATTGGACGGCTGGATAGTTGGCTGGCTGGGTGGACAGCCGGGTGGCTGGAGGGAGGGATGGTAGAGAGTGTGGGGCTTGGCATCAAAGGCCTGGCTTTGAATCTTGCTCGGACAATTACTAGACTTAGGCCATTCGAAGGGATAGGTCCTGTACTAACAAAATGAAAATAATAGTACCTACCTCATTCTCATTGTAAGAGTTAAATGGTATTCTACAATTAAAGTACTTAAAATAGTGCCTGGGGCACATAATAAACATTTAATAAATGAAGCCTCAATTGTCAGCTTGTTCATTTGCAAAATGGGGAGAAAAGACTCCTTGCCCAGCAAAGCTATCTAAGAATCAAATCAGATATATTCCCTCCTTTTATGCAGCCCTTCTCTGTAAGCTGTAGAGCAGCGTGCATGCAGCTGGTGTACGTGAGGGCTGTTGGTGGCAGTGCTGGGGGCAGGGTAAGGAGCCAGCATTTTAGACTTTTCCAGCAAGCCACACCCTGCCCTGGTCATTGAGGATACAGGGTAACCCCAATGAAATCAGGGCTGTGTTAGGGGGCATTGTGGATGTCACCTGGGGTTTGGGGGCAGTTTTTGGAGGAGACAGTGAGCGGGCAAAGGCTCATCAGGAAAGGGGGGAGAGGCATTTGAAATGAAGCAAAGGGAACAGCCTATGCAGAGGCCCAGAGGTCAGAATATATGGTACATCTGGAGGCAAGCTCAGGAAAGGCCCCCTGAGCACTTCCTGTGCCAAATGGTGAAGGAAGAGAGCTGGATGCAGTTGGGGCCGAGAGGGAAGCACTCACTGTGTTGCGTTGACTTCGATGGAGGTGGGCACATTCGGGCCCCTCAGGATGTCGGCATTGATCCACACAGGCCTCCGGACTTTCCCATCCAATGTCAGCTGCCGCAGGAGGTCCAGGGAGGGGCCCACGGCCTTGAGACTCTTGAAGTCCAACTTGATACCTGTGGGGAGGAGGCCAAGGGCTTGGGGAACTGGCCTCTCATGCTCACGGAAAAAGGAACTGGAAGACGTGACATCCTGGGGCAGAAAGAGCAGGTGTGGTGTGTGTGTGTGTGTGTGTCTGTGGGAGTGGGGAGTAAGGGGTTGGGGAGGGAAGGAAGGAAGAATGGAACCAGATTCTGGTTGGATATGAAGAAGGGCTTTCAAACAGGCAGCACTAACCCAGGGAGCCAGGACCACTGCAGGAGTGAGCTACATCTTCCATTCCATCTCACCTGTGTCTGGGAGATACCACCCAGGACGTGCCCTTCTGTGCCCTCCATCCCATCTAGGATTCTCTGAGCCTGGGCCTCTGGAACGTGGGGGTGGGAAGCCAAGGCAATGAGCAACTCATGATGGGAGCTGG